AGCATAAACTTCATGGTCTGAAAGCAATAAAATCTTGCAGAATTCTAACAGTATGAACCTTTATCACTTCACTATGTCTGTGAGTTGAGTAAGCTGTAATTTACTTAGCCTATTTTTTACCATTTGGCCCAGCTGGTAGGGTAAGCAGATGTTGCTGAGCTATTTGACCTCAGCGATATGACTTCCATGCTTGTTATCTTGTTCACTTTTCTTTTTTTCCGAGAGAAAATGGGTTTGGCTTCGTGACACATTCTCCGTGATGAGTGAATGAACTGTTGGCCCCTCCTCCCCTTTATTTTCTGTTCTGCATCTGACTGGTTTTCTCCTTTTTTCTTTGTTTTTTATATATAATCTGGGTTTATCTCAGTTGTAAAAAAAAAAAAAGGTAATATTTTAAAACATCGAGGCTAATATTTCCAATAAAATGGAATAGAATGAATAGCCCCTTTGACATGCTTCAGTCTGTATAAACTCCCAGTGACAATGGGGTGAACAGTATTATTCATTGAGTAACAATGTGTTGTGTCTTTGCTTACATACATGATTTATTCCTCATGATAATATATATTAATTAATGTGTATAATTAGACATTAATATATACCATGGTTGTTCCAAGGGACTCGGGGTTAGTGTGATCATATTTCTTAAAGTTTATTTATTTATTTTGAGAGAGCAAGAGAGACGGAATGGGGGAAGGGTAGAGAGAGAGGGAGAGAAAGGATCCCTAGCAGGGTTTAGGCTGTCAGTGCAGAGCCCGTCTGGGGGCTTGAACTCACAAACCATGAGATCTTGACCTGAGCTGAAATCTAGAGTCAGACACTCAACCAGCTGAGGCACGCCAGTGCCCCTAGTGTGTTCAATTCTTAAACTAATACTTCTTGTCTCAGCTGAAGATTTATTTGACAATCCTTTAATGCCAATTCTTTATTCTTTTTTATCAGTGGTGAGCTATAAGCTCAAAGACTATACCTATACCTATCTATAATCTAGAAAACCTAGCTCTAGGGTCAGCTCATTGATAATTCCATGGCACTCTTCTCACTATGTTTTAATTTAAAGTTGTTTCCATTTTAACCCATTAAATTTTGTCAGAAAAGAATAGGGTACAGAATTCCAAATAATGAATTTATGCACTTACAGGATTTCTATATGGGCTTCCCATGATCTCAAAACAAAACTAGCAAGATTTTCATCATTTCATATATTTTTTAAAGTTTATATATTTCCGCTGTGATAGCAAGGCATAGAGAAAAGAGATCTAAATTGTGAACTAATAAAACTGGAAAACTGGGGTTCTGTGCTGGGTGTGTGTTTATGAGTCATACTGCCATAGTCAGGGCATTTTCAGGGCTTGGGATAAAGACGTGTGGAGAAACTGGAGGATCAGTTTGATTTTATTCATGAAAAATTAGGAAGGACTGTCAGGCTCTCTTCTAGTTATAAAATTCTATGATTCTTTTTTTTTTTTTTATTATTTGAATTCCAGTTAACATACAGTATAGTATTGGTTTTAGGAGGAGAGGCCTGGGGGTGGTTGGGGGATTGGTGAAAATTCTATGATTGTATTTTTAGTTGGATAACTGGTATATAAACAAAATAAATAGGGCTAGCATACCTTCTACACCAAATTGTGTAATACATATGCATTTGCTTAATACTTTATTCACAACAGAATACAGATAGCAGCAATTGTCTAGATGGCCAGGTATTCATATTAATCTCTAAGGAAAAAAGTAAAGGATAGAAGGAAAAAAAACCCTCTTATTTCTGAAGATTTATAATTGTATGTCCATGCCATGCTTGTGGATCTCTGTTGAACAGTATGAAGTAAGAATCACAAGTAGGTGAAAGGTATTGTTCCTCAAATAATGTGAGTGGCATACACTTGAACAAACCTGCCCATTTTGCAATGGTTTGTTCTTTTGAGGTAAATAAAATGTAATTTGTAAAGACCAATGTCACTTTGCAAAGCAGTGTACTTACAAATTTTATAAGTTTTTGTTTAATTCCTGTTGACTTGATTGGTACCATTTTCCTTCTTTAGCAGACATTGCATGTGATTAATATGTCCTTAACATTTAAACCCAGACCAATCCAAATCTATATTTTTTATGACGTTGCTGAATACTCATGTATTTATTTCCCTGTAGGAGTTTACCAAGTAGCTATCTCACTACCATAAGAACATATGCTAGCTGAAATGTATAGCTTATCAAACTGTAAACCAAGAAGTCCAAGAAATCAAAGTATAGAGACTACTTCCTAGTAAATCTTGACAAAGAAGTGAATTTGAGCGTGAGAAGAGCCTCCTTTAGCTTGTGAATCTTGTAATGTAGATTTTACTCAATAGCGACTATAACATGGGCATGCTTACTGGTTAACCTCACTGAAAAGCTACAGAGAGCTACATTTTCACTTTCTTATTTTCAAAAAGTTTTTTGAAAGAGAGAGAGAGAGATACAGGGATAGAGAGGGATAGAGAGAGAGGAGGGGATAGAGAGGGAGACAGAATCCTAAGCATGCTGTATGCTGTCAGCGAGGCCCTGACCCAGGGCTTGAACCCACAAATTGTGAGATCATGACCTGAACTGAAATCAACAGTCACATGCTTAACTGGCTGAACCACTCAGGCATGCCATTTTCAAATTTGTTTTGATCAAATAATAGGCTTTTGGGAGTTTATATTTTCATTTGCAAGGAGTAACCTGTGGTGGATTCTTCCATTTGGCTTAAACTGGGGTAAAATCGTTGCAAGAGATTTCATGCAACCCATATAGGTTATATATCTTTGAATAATTAATTGTTTTATAGCAACAACAAATGGTTTCTGTGCACAGGGTGATTTTCTTTATTTTAATGTTTGGAATGAACCCAAACAGTCAATTACTTTGTCTCCCTGTAGAACTTACTTTTTCAGCTTCATTGAATTAGGTTAATTTGAAAGGCAATGGACCCCTCCCCCACTGCCACCCCCATGGCATTTTCAGAGAGTAATTTATTTGTGTTATAACTGCCTGTTTAAAGAAGCAAATGACTTTCACAGGAAAAACATTAATTATCCAAATTTTATTTATGCTGTATATAGTATAGATAAACATATATAGTTAATTTAAATATATAATACAATATAAAATGATATAAAATAATGTAAATATAGCTTTAATATGTATAATTGTATATAATATATGATATAATATAAATGATATAATACATAATGCAATATAAAATAATGTAATGTTATAAGTATGTGAATATAATATAAATATATATTTTGTTACTATAATAAGGGTGTGCTTGATTTTAGTTCCTGTAGAATTAAATGTGTTCTAGGGATAGGTGAAAAGTGTTAAGTGTAAAGATAACCTACTAGTGTGAATTTGTTAAATAAGGCCCTTTTTTGCCATCAAATCTAATCTGAGTTTGTCTGAGAAACAATCAGAACTGTCTGCAGTTAGGAGGTGGAAAGAGTCATGGTGGCCCAGACACATTGCCCATCAATTAGATCAAGAGGTTCTCTGCATACTTTTATCCACAGAAAAGATTCTCTTTCTGCCTTCTAACTTCCTAGAATGATTATTTGGCACCCAAATCCTCTGAGTCCATAAAAATTCTTCCAGACTGCCTCCATGCCTGTGTGTTGACCAGGTAGGATAACCCTAGCTTTGTGCAGTGAACGGTAGACTTGGTCTGTAAAGAATTCTGGGACTTAAAATAAATCACTTTGCTTTTGCTTCGGGCGATTTCTCTTTCACAGTGGTGTTAATGGCTTCAACAGCAGTAACCGTAATTAAAATTTTTCAGGTCCTTCTTATGTGCCAGGGACAGCAGTTAGTGCTTTGCATATATTATCCAGTTCAGTCACACAGGAACTCAGTAGTCTCTTCTTTGATGCAATTACCTTATGACATCAGTAGGCAGGGAATGGCTTTGGTGTAACGAGGAAATTGTATTGATTCGTAAGTTATTTTACAGTATATTTATGTTTTGAAACATTCTAGACAAGCTTTTTTCATAATTAAGAGGAAAGACTTAGCATGTAAGAAGATCTTAAGATCAAAGCTGGAAATCTAATGCAGCCCCTTTATTTAGTACAAGTAGAGCCTGTATTAGCATCTACACCTGATAGATATGTCTGTCTGGAGAAGCTCTGGATACAGATGAAGAGACTCCAGAGTTATTTTTCTGAATTAAAATAATCAATTAATGAAGAAAGCTAAACACCAGATAAAGTTTCCAATTTTGATGAAAAAAGGTCTCTATTTGGTAGCAAATTACCCTCAATACCTACTTTTTGAAGGAAGGAGCACAGACCCCAGGGTTTAAGGCTGGCAAACATAGACCATAATGCTTCCGGAAAAGATAATTAAGTATTTAACTGTTGTAGTAGTATTATTCATTTTTTACTACTTTGGCTTCTGTTAGTGCTCTGGATACCAGAATACATGTGTCTTTCAGTTATGTACATACAGTGTTATAGAAATATCTGTCCTGCTTTCGTCCTGATTTTGTAAAACGAGATATTGAAAGTGAGTGAGGCTAAGTAATCCAGCCACCTTCACACAGTTGGTAAGTGGTGGATCCAGGGCCGGATTCTGTCTCTTCTAGGGCCAGCTCTCTTCATTTCTGTGATACAAGTAACAAACTCAGTTTAATTCCTTTTTCTTGATTGCAAAGTTGTTGTTTTTTTGTTTTTGTTTTTAATGAGAAAAGGAAATTTTCACAGAAGAGCCTGTCTTGGGTCCTGACATATTCCTCAAGCCAGATCTCTTTCAGGTTAACACCTGTTGATCCATGGATCCCTTTATTTTGATGCAATATGTCTCATCACCTGTACTAATAGCCTTTGTTCTGGTCTGCTCTGTGATACTAGAGCCACCCAGCTTCCTTAATCAATGCTTCATCCTGTGTCCCACCCTTTTCTTTCTCACGTATCTGCATCTTTATATTCCAAATGGAGTTGGGTATAAATAGATTTTCAACATCACAGGGAAGGGGTTAAATGGAAGGTTTTACTGGAAAAGGTGGAAGCTTGCAAAATAAGAGAGGAGGGAAAGGCACCGTGCCATCCCCACACCCCCAGATGTCCTGCTGGCCAGCGGTTGGTCAGCATTCTCAGGACCTGGATGCCCAGGCTCACACCCTGGCCCGTGGTAAGTGCAGTCCCCACCGCCCGGTTGAAGACAGACCCTCGGTGACCCTGGGCCAGGAGTCACCTGCTCTGCTGGGAGCAGGTGGGAGATGGGGCTCTCTGGGAAAGCCAGAGTGGACTCTGACCTTCCTCCTCCTCCTCCTCCTCATTCCTCTTTCTTCCTCTTTCTTCCTTCTTTCTTCTTGTTCCCCTTCTTCTTTCTTCTTCCTCTCCTCTTCTTCCTCCTTCTTTTTCTTCTTATTCCTTCCTCCTTCTTCCTCCTCCTCCACCCTCCTCTCCTCGCTCTTTTTTTCTTCTTTGTTCTCCTTCTTGTTCTTATTCTTCTTCTTTCTTCTTTCTTCTTCTTCCTCCTCCTCCTTCTCCCTCTCCCTCTTCCTCTTCTTTCTCCTCTCCTCCTCCTCCTTCTTCAAAACTATTGCCCTTTGTGCCATGCGCCTGTCAGCCACGCTCCATTCTCTCTGGTCCAAACTTTTGCTCTAAAGTAACATGGCTTGTGAAAGTATTGAGAGACGTTGGCAATGTTGAAAGCAAATTCTGGTGAAAGAGAAGCTCTTCCTCTGTCACCACACCACCACTAGGAACAGTTACTGCTGAGTCCCAGTCACCAAAACCACAGCAATGAGGCGGGAGCAGGAAAACAGTTAGATCTTCTCCATGAAAACTTAAAAAAAAAATACATCAAGTATTAGTCCACCGACATTGTTTTAGTTTCACTGCTTGAATTATCATTAACATGACGATTATAACTTCCTCTGGTTACAATGGATTTGGACCATAAAGGGGAGCTCACTGCCCCCTCCTTCCATGTGTCCCCACAGTGTGTCCCCACAGTGTGCCCCCATGGTGTGTCCCTGATGGTGTGTCCCCATGCTGTGTCCCCACGGTGTGCCCCCATAGTGTGCCACCATGCCTTCAGACACCTGCTGCCCCTGCAGTGATTCATGGCTGAGTCAAGCCATAAACCTCATGTTAGCTTACCTGCTAGTGTGCATTCCTTTATTTATTTATTTATTTATTTATTTATTTATTTTAATTGATTTAAATCCAAGTTAGTTCACATACCGTGTAGTGTTGGTTTCAGGAGTAGGGTCACCTAGGTGGCTCAGTCAGTTAAGTGTGACTTCAGCTCACATCATGATCTCATGGCATGAGCTCTGTGCTGACACCGCAGAGCCTAGAGCCTGCCTCAGATTCTCTCTCTCCCTCTCCCTCTGCTCCTCCCCTGCTTGTGCTCTGTCTCCCTCTCTCTCAAAAATAGTATAAAAAATAAATTTAAAAAAGGGAGTAGAACCCAGTCATTCATCACTTACCTATAACACCCAGTGCTCATCCCCACAAGTGCTCTCCTTAGGGCCCATCATTCATTTAACCCATCTCTCCCCACTACCCCTCCAACATCCTCAGTTTGTTCTCTGTATTTAAGAGTCTCTGATATTTTGTCCCTCTCCCTGTTTTTATATTATTTTACTTTCCTTACCTTCTGTTCATCTGTTTTGTATCTTCAATTCCTCTTATGCATAAAATCATAAGACACTTGTCTTTCTCTAACTTCACTTACCATAATACACTCTAGTTCCATTAATGTTGCAAATAGCAAGATTTCATTCTTTTTGATTTCTGGGTAATATTCTATTGTCTCTTATGGTTTGCCTCCCTCTCTGTTTTTATCTTATTTTATCTTAATCAGAAAATAGAATCCCATTGGCTTTCTTAATATTGATAGTACTTACCACATAATTTTTTAAGAGTTAATTATGTGAAGTGTTTGTAAATGAGTGTGTACTCGGGTCTTGAACATTTTACTACATCAGAAAATGCCATCATTGGGATGCCTGGGTGGCTCAGTCAGTTAAGCATCTGACTCTTGATTTGGGCCCAGATCATGATATTGCAGTTCATGGGTTCGAGCCCCATGTAGGGCTCTGGGCTGACAGCTTGGAGCCTGGCTGGAATTTTCTCCCTCCTTCTCTCTCTGCCCCTCCACCCCTAGTACTCTCCCTCTCTCTCTCAAGATAAATGAATTAAAAAAAAATAAAATGCCATCATTATTTGACTGTACTTTTGGATATATTATCTGTACATAATCTATTTGTAACTTCAATACAAAATAGAAAGATCAGTTTCACTCAGTTTTACATCTGTATGTACGAGTGTGTGGAGAAAGTAGAAGGAAATAATCTGTCCTTTAGAAATGCAGGTGTGTGAGTGTGTGTTTAATCATTATTCCAATTTGTTATAGAAGAAGCATGCTCCCTTTCAACATTCCCTAGGCAGGTAAAGCTCACTGACAATAATATTATAAATAAATATTATAGTTTTTATTATTATCATTATTATTACTATTAATTTCTTGAGAAAATATTCCAAAGAGACTTCCCCTTTATTTGTAACTATATAATGATATAACATTTAGTCCTGAAGAAAATGCAGCCAACACCTTTTGCATTATTATTCAAGCTAGATTTACATTTATGGATTATCTATATATATTCTCGTGTGCTATCCCGAGGCAATGGGTTCTGTAGATATATGCCATTTATTCTTATGTCTTTCCAAGGGTACATTTTTATTTGCATAGCTACATCTTTTCTAGATGCCATCATTTTTATAAATGGATGGGCTGAAAATGATCGCTCTAAGCTATAGTGCACTACTGTTTGGAGAAAGGATTGTTGGTGCGTATGGGAAAGAGGGGATTTGAATTGCATCAGTGCTATTTGCATCCAACTTGTAAAATGTATGGAGTCTTTAACAAAATAGAGAAGATTGGAGATGTCCTGTCATTTCAACTCCTCCAGCAAATGTCCACAATTTAGCCTGCCGCAAGTATAATAAGAGAACAAGCATTGAAATGTTACACTGGACTAGTGTGTTGTTCTGGTCAAGCACTCAGATGTGTCTTCAAGAAGAATGGGCTCGGCCGTGGGTCTGCACACTAGTTTTGTCTTTCACGTTGAGATTTATGTTTTATGGATTTGCTCTAAGATAAAAGAAGAAAGAAACAGTTCTCACCATGGGAGACCTGGCTACTTCTTTATCTCTTCCTTTTCTTCTTTTCTCTTATTTCAGGAAATCTCTTTTCATATTAGAAGTCTTACTGGGTGAACTGAAGTATAAGCCTCTGTTATTTCAGGATCTCCCTTTGTTCAGGATGAAACTCAGTGATAACTCCTGTGAGAAGGGACGGACAGGGAGGGGAGCAGATTTAAGTTGTAAAAAGGGAAACAAGAAATAGATGATGAAACTCTCAAGTGGCTCAGTCTCCACCTGCCACCCTCATCGCCAAAAAAAATATCAGTTATAAATAGCAGAATAAAGGTTATTTTTGCCCTTTTGAAGCAGGACGTCTTCTATACCATGCCAGATACTATGTTGGATGTTTTCTGCTTTCAAACAGATCTGCCAGTCAGCTGGGGTTTAAGCATGTGATCTTGTTAAAGATTGCGTACAAGTAGGATATATCTTCACATAACTGTCTCTGGCCCATAGGTACCATTCTTGTGGACAACATGCTGATCAAAGGGACTGCGGGAGGACCAGACCCCACCATTGAACTTTCCTTAAGGGACAATGTGGATTACTGGGTGCTGCTGGACCCCGTCAAGCAAATGCTCTTCCTGAACAGCACCGGCAGAGTTCTGGACAGAGACGTTAGTGACTCTTTTTTCCTTTTGTTCCCCTGTTACAACTTTCTTATAGTTTCGATAACTGCACATGTGTGTTGATGATGATCTTGGACTTTCTTTATATGATTTGACATTATTTTCTGTGCTTAGCAACAAAAACATTTTTTCCAACTCCTTGAAGGAAGAATGAGAAGGGAGGGCCACCTATGTCTGGGAAAGCCATTGTATTTCCTTCCAACCTCCAGAACAAGTGGAGGGTAGATGTTCGCAGCAAGGGCTGGTGAGTTTGGAAGAGCAGGGGAAGTGGAGCGAAGGCCCACGGCCATGTGTGCGAATGTAGGAGGTGTTGACTGAGGATGCAGTGTGATGGGAAGGGCTCAGGAGGCTGTTGTCGCTTGAAGTGAGGAGTGAGCATGGGGTGAGGGATGGGTTTGTGACCGTGTGTGTACACAGCTGGAAAACAAATCAAAAGGTGAACATGAGTTTCCTGGCAATGTGCCATTCCAGCCGTGACCTAAGTAGTAAGGCAGCATGACCCACGCATTATGTCATGAAGAACAGCTCAGCTACCAAAGTTGCTGGATGTCTCATTTCTGAAGAAGTGGGCAAACGGGTAGATTGATGTAGGCTTCTGAGTGTTGAGTGCAGAGATGCGTGTGCGTGCATGTAGCCAGGTGTGCATGACAGTAACTGTACAGGACCTTCGGAGTACATCTAAATGTGCCTACTCCCAAATTTCCAGGTCATGAAATCCCCATGTCAGACACTGAGCGCAATGAATCTGAATCATCACACTGCGTTTCTCAGATTTGTGATCCGCTCTACAGTATGGGGTGTGGAGTACATGGCTGCTGATGTAGTTCACGTCTAAAATTCAGAGTCTCTTAGAACTTTGTGGTCAGGGGAGGGGGACAGGTATAGGACTCCCACCAAGATGGGGTGTCTTTGTCCACTTGCGGGCCCCACACGCAGGGGACTGAGCAGATGTGAAGCACGGGTGGCAGTGCAGAGTATGAGTGACACTGTGAGGCTCAACATGGGGGAACAAGTCAGCCTGGATGCTGCCCTGGCCGCCCACCAACCCCTACTCTCTGCTCTTTATACCCCACACTTTACAATTTTGGCTGGGTGGCTAGGGTATAAAACGGGATAGGAATAGTTGTTATCTAGTCTTGGCTTTATTTCTCTCTTAAGTTATAACTTTTGTGAGAGCAGTGTGAATAATGGCACACACTCATAGGCTGCAAAAGTGCCCCAGCTGCATCCACACAGACTCTGTTTCATGGCTTTAACTAGAGGCATTCACATCCACGTTCCCACAGATTTCTTTTTTTTTTTTTTTAATTTTTTTAATGTTTATTTATTTTTGAGAGAGATTGAGACAGAGCGTGAATGGGGAAGGGACAGAGAGAGAGGAGATACAGAATCTGAAGCAGGCTCCAGGCTTTGAGCTGTCAGCACAGAGCCTGATGTGAGACATGAGGCTCGAACTCACAGACTGTGAGATCATGACCTGAGCCCGAAGTCAGATGCTTAACCGACTGAGCCACCCAGGCGCCCCTCCCACAGATTTAATTGTGTAACCTGTTCGGAGACTTGTAGGATACTCATTTATTTTAGATCACCATTATTTTATATCATTTCCTTTTCTTAAAATCACTTACTACCAAAGTATAATAATTTACTAGTTTACTAGCAAATTATTTTCTTTTAGGCACCGCTTTTTTTTCGTTTGATATTAAAAGCACAAGTTCTAGGCCTGAATGAGTAGAGATAAAGGATATCCCTCAGTATCAATAAATGGTGTTCTGGGTCTACAACCTAAAACATTATTTTAATTACTTACCAAAGATTATTTTTACTTAAAAAAATCTGCTTCTCTAGTATTTTTTTATTTCTAATAAGAGAAGCATTTATTGGACATTGACTCAACTGAAACAGTACCGTGGGAACACACTTAAAATTGTGTGACTTGAAAGTAACAATTGCAAAAAATATGCACAAGTATCATTTAAAGATTCATCCATGCTGATTTTAAGTTTATTCATTTATTTTTGAGAGGGAGAGAGAGAGGAAGAGAGAGAGCACAAGCAGGGGAAGGGTAGAGAGAGGTGGAGAGAGAGATTCACAATCTGGATTCATAGTGTCAGCACAGAGACGGACATGGGTCTCAATCCCATAAACTGGGAGATCATGACCTGAGTTGAAATCAACATTCAGATACTTAATGGATTGAGCTGCCAAGGTGCCCCAGGCTATTTTTTATTTTTTCAAACACAATAATAAAAGCCTATTTCCTTCTACTTAAAATGTTCTTTTGGATTAGGAATGCCATGGTGAAGTTAAACTTGCCAAGATATTTTGTACATTCGATGGATACCTACCTAATTTACGTAAAGATGCACATGAGACCATCTAGAGAATACTAAGTGTGAAGCGAATATTGTAGAGAAAAATCTACAAATAAGAAGCAAAATGTGCTCACATATGTGTGACTTATTAACAACTTGACAAAAATATTTGTTGAAATAATGGGAAGAGATAAGTAAAAATGATGATGATAGTACATTATGAGGTCAAAGTTAGGTTCACTAAATAGAGTATGTACTTCTAGTATTTTTTAGAGTTTGCTGATAACAGATGCTTTATAGAATCATTGGATTTTAGAGGTGGAAGGATCTTAAAGTTTTGCTAAATCAATGTTTTTGTCTTTTTTTTTCTGTAATCTGCTGTGCAGTAGATTTAGACCCACTGAGTCTTAACTTTTAGCCCTTATCTTTGGTGAAATGAGAACAAGAAAACAGTGGGGTGATTTTATTTATTTATTTATTTATTTATTTCTCCAAAGCTAAATGTGTTCATTTTATTCTGATATCATCCCCTTTTTGCATATTTTTTAAAATTTTCTGTGGCCTTGTAGATCTTAGATGGCTTTTGCTTTTTTTATTTTTTTAAATAATGTTTATTTATTTTTGAGAGAAAGAGACCGAGCATGAGCAGGAGAGGGGCAGAGAGAGAGAGAAGGAGACACAAATCTGAAGCAGGCTCCAGGCTCTGAACTGTCAGCACAGAGCCTGACGCGGGGCTCAAACCTACTGACAGTGAGATCATGACTTGAACTGAAGTCGGCCACTTAATCGACTGAGCCATGCAGGCGCCACTATGGCTTTTGCTGTTTGAAAGTCTTTCTGAAAGAAAGAAAAGATTATCTGTCTTACGTTAGCCTTCCGTGGTTTTTGCTGGCTTGTTCTTGGGTTGTATTTTATTGCCGTCTATTTTACTAGCCTGCTGCTCTAGTGTGCTCTGTTCTGGTGATGAGTGTTTAGTCCACTCCAATAATTAACTCGTTGGCCATGTTGCCCAATAGTTGATCTTTGATGTCAGGGAATTCTTCTTCGGTGAAGGTGTGAGATGGATTTAAGCAAACCATTAAATGGTTTGGAAGAAGAGAAGTGTAGACGAAGTAAGAAAGGTAAGAAGAATAAGAGTCACAGTGGGTGGTGTCAACCTGCTAACAGGTAATGGGGGCCATCGAGTTAAACAGCGACAGTAAAAGGGGAAAAGAATACTTTGATGTAAAAAAAAATACTACCACATCTTTATATCAGGAATGACTTATGTCATTAAGAAATATTTTCTTGGGCACCTAGGTGGCTCAGTTAGTTGAACAACAGACTTTATTTCAGCTCAGGTCATGATCTCATGGTTTATGAGTTCAAACTTTGGATGTTCTCTCTGTCTGTCTCTATCTCTCTGTCTCTGTCTCTGTCTCTCTGTCTCAAAATAAATAAACTTAAAAAAAGAAATCTTTCCTTGGAGGTTCACTGTATTGCCGGTTACTACATTTTGATGAGTCGAGGAAATAATGATAGTAGGCTGAAATACACTCGTTGATTGATGGATTTGTTAGTAAGTCTTCATTTTTGGGAGGCAGAACACTTAGGATTCCCATCAAATCTGTGGACCCATTTCTCAATAAAAAGTTTATTTCCACATGAATAAATTATTTGACATCAACTTTAAGAGTTTCACTAACTACCAAGATTATATAGACCCCAGGTTACAGACCTTGCCTTGGGAAAGTATCTTCCTACTTTTCTTACTCTCAAATTGTTAGAGAGTCTTACATCTCAAAATCAGCAATTGTAAACAGAAGCAAGAGAAGGAATGGTTATTGACCACATATGTGCTTTTATATCCCAACCCACTGGAGTAATTTGCTGTGGTCCTAATGCTTTGCTAAGCCGTTAGATGCCTGCCATGTTTTCCATAATAGAAAGTGATCTCCATGTGACTTGGAAAAGATAAATCTCAATATAAGCTCTTGCTTCAGTAAAGTTTACTGTGGCCTATATTAACCTTTGCATTTTTTAAATTCTTGTGAATTGCTCTCTCTGATGCCATGGTGCTTTTATGGCTTTATTCATCAAAGTATAAAGGCGTTGAAAATTCTTAACCCAGTGCCCATCTGTTTTATGTGAAGCGCTGACTTGCTGGTAGTAAAGGAGTGTGGTAAACCCATGCTTTCAGTCCAAATCTAATCACAACCAGAAGTTTTAATTTTATTTAACAATAAAATAATATCAGCTCATGATATTAAAATCAGAAAATAAAAAGCACGTTTGCAAACATTTTTTCCATCTAAGGAAAGCACTTTATACTTATCCTGCTGTATATTATTTCAAACATATATATGTGTCAGCATGTATCTTTATAATATCATACTGGATATGATGTTTCAGCCTGCTTTTTAATGTGATTTGTAATATACTTCCTTCCATGTGAATGAATGTACATATAATCATTTTTAATGGATGTATACTGTTTTACTGGATGAGTAAATCGAGATTCTTTTTCAAAACAATCTTCTGTTTTGAACACCAAGTTTGCACGTCTTGATGATTTTCTTTTCTTGCCGTATCTTTGTCCAGTTTTGGTATCAGGGTAATGCTGGTCACCTAAAATGTTTAGAAGAGTCCCCTCTTCTTTTTCGGAAGAATTTGAGATGGATTGGTATCCACTTG